TGGACTCATTTATTAACTCACCTGAACACACCTGGACTCATTTATTAACTCACCTGAACACACCTGGACTCATTTATTAACTCACCTGAACACACCTGGACTCATTTATTAACTCACCTGAACACACCTGGACTCATTTATTAACTCACCTGAACACACCTGGACTCATTTATTAACTCACCTGAACACACCTGGACTCATTTATTAACTCACCTGAACACACCTGGACTCATTTATTAACTCACCTGAACACACCTGGACTCATTTATTAACTCACCTGAACACACCTGGACTCATTTAGTAACTCACCTGAACACACCTGGACTCATTTATCAACTCACCTGAACACACCTTGACTCATTTGTTAACTCACCTGAACTCACCTGAACACACCTAGACTCATTTATTAACTCACCTGAACACACCTGGACTCATTTTAATAACACACCTGAACACACCTGGACCCATTAACTCACCTGAACATACCTGGACTCATTTATTAACTCACCTGAACACACCTGGACTCATTTAGTAACTCACCTGAACACACCTGGACTCATTTATTAACTCACCTGAANCAGACTGATATGAGTCCAGACTCATCCAGGTCCAGACTGATCCAGGTCCAGACTGATCCAGGTCCAGACTGATCCAGGTCCAGACTGATCCAGGTCCAGACTGATCCAGGTCCAAACTGATCCGAGTTCAGACTGATCCGGGTCCAGACTGATATGAGTCCAGACTCATCCAGGTCCAGACTGATCCAGGTCCAGACTGATCCGAGTCCAGACTGATCCAGGTCCAGACTGATCCAGGTCCAGACTGATCTGAGTCCAGACTGATCTGAGTCCAGACTGATCCGTGTCCAGACTGATCCAGGTCCAGACTGATCCAGGTCCAGACTGATCCAGGTCCAAACTGATCCAGGTCCAGACTGATCCAGGTCACGACTGATCCAGGTCCAGACTGATCCGAGTCCAGACTGATCCAGGTCCAGACTGATCTGAGTCCAGACTGATCCGGGCCCAGACTGATCTGAGTCCAGACTGACCCGAGTCCAGACTGATCCAGGTCCAGACTGATATGAGTCCAAACTGATCCGAGTCCAGACTGATCCAGGTCCAGACTGATCCGGGTCCAGACTGATCCGAGTCCAGACTGATCCAGGTCCAGACTGATCTGAGTCCAGACTGATCCGGGTCCAGACTGATCTGAGTCCAGACTGATCCGGGTCCAAACTGATCCAGGTCCAGACTGATCCAGGTCCAGACTGATCCAGGTCCAAACTGATCCAGGTCCAGACTGATCCAGGTCCAGACTGATCCAGGTCCAGACTGATCCGAGTCCAGACTGATCCAGGTCCAGACTAATCTGAGTCCAGACTGATCCAGGCCCAGACTGATGCAGGTCCAGACTGATCCGGGTCCAAACTGATCCAGGTCGAGACTGATCCGAGTCCAGACTGATCCAGGTCCAGACTGATCTGAGTCCAGACTGATCCGGGTCCAGACTGATCTGAGTCCAGACTGATCCGGGTCCAAACTGATCCAGGTCCAGACTGATCCGAGTCCAGACTGATCCATGTCCAGACTGATCCAGGTCCAAACTGATCCAGGTCCAGACTGATCCAGGTCCAGACTGATCCGAGTCCAGACTGATCCAGGTCCAGACTGATCCAGGTCCAAACCCACTTAACTAATTGTTTTGAACCCCAGAATCTTGTTAGAATATAAATTCCTTCGGAGCTCTAACATCGATCCTGATCATGGTTCTGGTTCTGGTTCTGGTTTGGACCATCTGTCTGGATCCAGATGGATCTCTTCAGTCTGCTCGGCTGAAAAACCTACCAGTTTCTGTTTGTCACCTGATCCCACAGCTTCTGGCCATGCCCCCTCAGTTGTTACCATGGCGCCGGTCTCCAGCCCGACCCGGGTGGTGATGAGCGTGGAGGACTTCTACTACGGGCAGGTCAGTGGGGACATGAGCCGGAGGGGTCCACAGACAGGAAGCAAGACCCTCCCCTTTACCTGCAACATCTGTTCCTACCAGGCTGAGAACAACCTGAGGTGAGACCACACCTGGACTCATTAACTCACCTGAACACACCTGGACTCATTTATTAACTCACCTGAGCACACCTGGACTCATGAACACACCTGGACTCATTTATTAACTCACCTGAACACACCTGGACTCATTAACTCACCTGAACACACCTGGACTCATTAACTCACCTGACCACACCTGGACTCATTAACTCACCTGACCACACCTGGACTCATTAACTCACCTGAACACACCTGGACTCATTAACTCACCTGAACACACCTGGATTCATTAACTCACCTGAACACACCTGGACTCATTAACTCACCTGAACACACCTGGACTCATTAACTCACCTGAACACAACTGGACTCATTTATTAACTCACATGAGCACACCTGGACTCATTAACTCACCTGAACACACCTGGACTCATTTATTAACTCACCTGAACACACCTGGACTCATTAACTCACCTGAACACACCTGGACTCATTTATTAACTCACCTGAACACACCTGGACTCATTTATTAACTCACCTGAACACACCTGGACTCATTAACTCACCTGAACACACCTTGACTCATTTGTTAACTCACCTGAACACACTTGGACTTATTTATTAACTCACCTGAACACACCGGGACTCATTTAGTAACTCACCTGAACACACCTTGACTCATTAACTCACCTGAACACACCTGGACTCATTAACTCACCTGAACACACCTGTACTCATTAACTCACCTGAACACACCTGGACTCATTAACTCACCTGAACACACCTGTACTCATTAACTCACCTGAACACACCTGGACTCATTAACTCACCTGAACACACCTGGACTCATTTATTAACTCACTTGAACACACCTGTCTGCAGGTTGATGCAGCACATGGTGCATCACTCGGACCTGGTTGCAGAAGATGGGAACAAGTTGTGTTGCCGGTGCTGTTACCGACAGTTCTCGTCTGCGACTCAGCTGAAGCTTCACCAGGACCAGGTGCATGGCTCCACCCTCTCCTCCTGTAAGAACCACACCTGCTAGCAGAGATTAGGACTGATGTTTCCAGGTCCAGTGGCTCTGGACTTGGTTTGGGTTTTATCCAACTGGATTTGACCTTTGACCCGTTGACCTTGTTGTGTCTCATTAAATCGGGCCTCACCTGTCTGTCTACCTGTGCCACAGGTTTGTGTCGTATTTGTGAGTGGGCGTTTGAGAGTGAACCGGTCTTCCTGAACCACATGAAGTCCAACCATAAACCAGGAGAGATGCCTTACGTCTGCCAGGTGAGTGGACCGTCCATCATGTCCATCCCATCTTACCAGTCTGTGCTGCCCCTCAGGTGTGGTCTGACCTCAAGTGTTTTACAGGTGTGCTCGTATCGCTCCTCCTTCTACTCAGACGTGCTGAAGCACTTCGCCTCGCTCCACAGAGACTCTCTGTTCCTGCTCTGCATCTTCTGCCTGAGGGTGACCAGAAACCCAGACGGTTACCAGCAACACCTGCTCCGACACAAGGTAAACAAACAAACAAACAGCAACCTAATATACAGGTAAACAAACAAACAACAAACTAACGTACAGGTAAACAAACACACAACAAACGAACATACAGGTAAACAAACAAACAACAAACTAACATACAGATAAACAAACAAACAAACATCAACCTAATATACAGGTAAACAAACAATCAATAAACTAACATACAGATAAACAAACAAACAGCAACCTAATATACAGGTAAACAAACACACAACAAATGAACATACAGGTAAACAAACAAACAACAAACTAACATACAGGTAAACAAACAAACAGCAACCAAACATACAGGTAAACAAACAGCAACCTAATATACAGGTAAACAAACAAAAACAAACTAACATACAGGTAAACAAATAAACAACAAACTAACACACAGGTAAACAAAGAAACAACAAACTAACATACAGGTAAACAAACAACAAACTAACATACAGGTAAACAATCAAATTAACTTACAGGTAAACAAACAAACAAAAACAACCTAACACACAGGTAAACAAACAAACAACAAACCAACATAGAGGTAAACAAACAGCAACCTAACATATAAGCAAACAAACAAACAACAAAATAACATATGGGTAAACAAACAAACAACAAACTAATATACAGGTAAACAAACAAATTAACATACAGGTAAACAAACAAATTAACATACAGGTAAACAAACAAACAACAACCTAACATACAGGTAAACAAACAAATTAAGATACAGGTAAACAAACAAACAAAAACAACCTAACATACAGGTAAACAAGCAAACACAAACAACCTAACATACAGGTAAACAAACAACAAACTACCATACAGGTATACAAAAAACAGCAACCTAACATACAGGTAAACAAACAAACAGCAACGTAACATACAGGTAAACAAACGAACAAACAACAAACTAACATACAGGTAAACAAACAACAAACTAACATATAGGTAAACAAACAAACAAACCAACATACAGGTAAACAAACAGCAACCTAACATACTGGTAAAGAAACAAACAAGAAACTAAGATATAGTTAAACAAATAAACAACAAACTAACATACAGGTAAACAAACAAACAACAAAGTAACATACAGGTAAACAAACAGCAACCTAATATACTGGTAAAGAAACAGACAAACAAACAAGAAACTAACATATAGGTAAACAAACAAACAAACAACAAACCAACATATAGGTAAACAAACAAACAGCAACCTAACATACTGGTAAAGAAAAAAACAAACAAACAAGAAACTAACATATAGGTAAACAAACAAAAAAACAAACGGGTAAAAAAACAGCAACCTAACATACTGGTAAAGAAAGAAAGAAACAAACAAGAAACTAACATATAGGTAAACAAACAAACCAACAACAAACCAACATACAGTATAGGTAAACAAACAAACAGCAACCTAACATACAGGGAAAGAAACAAACAAACAAACAACAAACTAACGTACAGGTAAACAAACAAACAAACAACAAACCAACATATAGCTAAACAAACAAACAGCAACCTAACATACAGGTAAACAAACAACAAACTAACATACAGGTAAACAAACAAACAACAAACATACAGGTAAACAAACAAAAAACAAACATATAGGTAAACAAACAAACCAACATACAGGTCAACAAACAGCAACCTAACATACAGGTAAACAAACAACAAACCAACATATAGGTAAACAAACAAACAGCAAACTAACATACAGGTAAACAAACAACAAACTAACATACAGGTAAACAAACAAACAACAAACTAACATACCGGTAAACAAACAAACAACAAACTAACATATAGATAAACAAACAAACAACAAACTAACATACAGGTAAACAAACAAACAACAAACTAATATATAGGTAAACAAACAAACAACAAACTAATATATAGGTAAACAAACTAAGATATATAGGTAAACAAACAAACAAACAACAAACTAACATAAAGGTAAACAAACAAACATCAACCTAACGTACTGGTAAAGAAACAAACAAACAAGAAACTAACATACAGGTAAACAAACAAAAAACAAACTTGCATAAAGGTAAACAAACAAACTAACATATAGGTAAACCAACAAACAAACAACAAACCAACATACAGGTAAACAAACAGCAACCTAACATGCTGGTAAAGAAACAAACAAACAAACAAGAAAGTAACATATAGGTAAACAAACAAACAACAAACTAACATACAGGTAAACGAACAAACAGCAACCTATCATACAGGTAAACAAACAGCAACCTATCATACAGGTAAACAATCAAACAACAAACTAACATATAGGTAAACAAACCAACAACAAACCAACATATAGGTAAACAAACAAACAGTAACCTAACATACAGGTAAACAAACAAACTAACATACAGGTAAACAAGCAGCAACCTAACATACTGGTAAAGAAAGAAACAAACAATAAACTAACACAGGTAAACAAACAAACAACAAACTAACATAGGTAAACAAACAAACAACAAACTAACAAACAGGTAAACAAACAAACAACAAACTAACATACAGGTAAACAAACAACAAACCAACATACAGGTAAACAAACAAACAACAGATAATATATAGGTAAACAAACAAACTAACATAGGTAAATAAACAACAAACTAACACAGGTAAACAAACAAACAACAAACTAACATGCAGGTAAACAAACAAACAGGAGTCTTTCCTC